GATTTTGATATTTCCTGCTGTGGCACCTCTCAATTTTTTCCTTTCTTTCCTTGAGTAAACCTCTCCTCCTCAGTTTTCCACTACTGGTGTGGAATTTGGATAGTCATAACTCCTTAGTAGATAACCGACAACATCAGCATCAGTAGATAACTGATAACATCTTTATACTTGTCCCTTGGTGTAGGAGCCAAAACAAATTAATACCTAAAGTGGATTTAACAAGGGCACATCCATTGATTTGCCATCATTTGCATTTTGCTCATGCTGTGCACTAGACAGATACCTCCTAATGTAGAGCAAGGTGTTCTGAAGTCTGTAGAATAATACTGAGCTCCTTTTATGTTTTACTCACATTAAAATATTCCCCAAGTTCTCAGCCATATGTTTTTCAGCAGATCAGAAGGAACCTGTGGAAGTATAAGGAAAAGTATTATTTAGTTAAAATAATTTCTGGGCCAGACATTTGTTCTCACATTCTCCTTGAGTACTTTAAAGTGGATTATATTTTAGTTTCTTGCTGAAAAGTATGAAGAGAGGAATATATGAAATTCTTTTTCTTTATTCTTGCAGGTACAGAAATGTAACGTGTGTTGTTTACACTGGTGATAGAGATGCCACTGGAGAAGAAATAGTAGAAGGCGCTTTCAGAAGATTCAATATTAAGTTAATCCATCCTGTGAAGTTTGTATTTCTAGAAAAACGCTTCCTTGTGGAAGCTTCTCTTTATCCTCACTTTACTTTGCTGGGACAAAGTTTAGGATCATTGTTCCTTGGCTGGGAAGCTCTTCTAAAGTGTGCTCCTGATATTTATATTGACTCAATGGGTTATGCCTTCACAATTCCCCTCTTCAAATACGTGGGAGGTTGTCGCGTTGGGTGCTACGTCCATTATCCCACTATCAGCACGGACATGCTCTCTGTCGTGAGGAACCAGGATACCAGGTTTAACAATGCTGCCTTCATTACAAGCAGTCCTCTCTTCAGCAAATTTAAACTTGTCTACTACTACTTCTTTGCTTTCATGTACGGGTTGGTTGGTTCCTGCAGTGATGTGGTCATGGTGAATTCTTCTTGGACACTGAATCACATCCTTTCCCTCTGGAGAGCTGGGGCTTGCACTAGTGTTGTGTATCCGCCGTGCGATGTTCAGGCTTTCCTGGATATTCCGCTGGAAGTGGAAAAGAGCACCAGTGAATATTCCATTGTTTCTGTCAGCCAGTTCAGGCCTGAAAAAGATCATCCTTTGCAAATCAGAGCCTTTGCTAAATTGCTGAAAGAGAAGAGAGTGGGGCAGCAGCCATCGCTGAAGCTGATCTTAATTGGCGGCTGTCGTAACCAGCAAGATGAAGAGCGTGTAAATAACCTGAAACATCTGTGTGAAGAGCTGGGAGTTGGTGATGATGTGGTGTTCAGGATTAACATTCCCTTTGAGGAGCTGAAGAGACACCTGGCCGAGGCCACCATCGGCCTGCACACCATGTGGAATGAGCACTTTGGGATAGGTCAGTACTTTTCCTGAGTGTCCAGCTGCTTGACCCTACATATCTAAGCATAGAGGTCTGCATGCCAAGCAGGTGTCCAGCTCCTGTTCCCGTGGAGGCAGTGTAGCTGCTGTAAAGCCTGCAGGACCAGTGCAGATGTGGTGCAGATGATGCACCACTAGGTGCTACTGTAGTGCAAGCTGAAGTGCTGTAGTCGTAGGCTGATAATTCTGTGCATCCTCTGGTCACCTAAACACAGAGCTAGTCCCATCTCTGCTGCCCAGGATGTCCTGCTGACCTCCAGCTATTGCCCTGCAAGGTCATGGGTCACCCAGTTGTCCTTGGGTTAGGTTTGCCAACCTACCAGAGCTTCAAGAGGCTGCAGGTGCTTCTCTTCCACACCTTAAATTGTGCCCTGGTGGCTCCACTGACTGCAAGGGGAGCTTATAGACAGTTAATGTATAGACATTCATATTGGAGATTTTGGTTGTGTTTCACCTGCCTCAAATGCCACTTGAAATGTCCAGTGTATGTCGTGGCACTCCAGCTGTTGTTTCAGGGCTGTAAGTCTCCCACAGATCCTGCCTGCTACAAATAAGCCCCGTGTAGAGGCCACCAGGTACCTTTGGTCATCTCATTGCATTAGGCATCTCTGCTGAGGCAAATGTATGAAGCCCTTAAATTGGAGGGTGCAGCATGGAGCAGAAAGTTCTGGGTCCCAGCTCCCCTCTGAACAAAGGTATAGAGCTCAGTTTATTTGGATTAGATTAGTCCTGACCTTGAAAGGGAGTGCCAGAATGCCCATCTGTTATGAATCTACAGCAACCAGGTAAGTTAGTAGCCAAGCAGATGGATGCCATACTCTGCTATAATGTGACTAAACTGCAGCTAATGTCTTCAGACTTCAGTAGAAAAAAGGTTAAGTATCCGGAGTAGTAGTTTATGGTCTGTAGGAACTTGGTATAAAAACAATTTGACACTGAAGCATCTCTCAGAAGCACCAGCAAAATATTGGAAACTCTGTCTTTTCTTTTTTTTTTTCCTCCCACAAAACGGTTTAGTTAATTTTTTTTAAAGTGATATAATCACACTATGATTTTGAATTTGAGCAGGATTTAACCTTCATTTAACAGGCTTTTTATGTGTAAAAAAACATATTCCAAAATTTTGGAGCTCTATTTATAGTAGTCAATGTTTGAGCTGAGAGAATTGATAACAGTCAAATCAGAACTGAGAAAAATCAGCATTTCTGAGGTTTGTTCTGGAACCATGGAGGAGAATCGAAGTTGCTGTGTGCATTTGTGCCTATCCCACAGCTTTTGCTGAGGAAAGCTTACTCATTAAAATTTCTTCCATCAGAAATACAGATGTAGAGATAACAGTTTTTAATAGTGTCTTGGTGAGTTGTCAGAAGCTATAAAGATGTATTAATCTGCAAAATACTGAAGTTCTGAATATTTTCTGATTGAAATGTGTGTAGTCAACTTTTTTCTCCATATCTTTCCAAACGTTTAAAATCAGGTGTGTTACAAGACCCACAAATTAACCAGTTATATCTGATATCTAATTTCAATTTTATGTGTTAAGAGAAACTGTCATTTCAGTCCTTAAAACTGAAAAATTTGTGTTTCTTATGGGACCATTTTTGCTGTATTTTTCCAGCTGATTTGGAACAGCAATCTGTTGTGAATTTTACCGTTGGTTTAACTTTCCAGTGTTTTACAGATCAAAGCACACGATGTGCAGGCTCATATCAGCATTTTTTCTCTTCTTACAGGAGTAGTTGAATGTATGGCAGCTGGCACAGTTATCCTGGCTCACAATTCTGGTGGCCCCAAACTGGACATCGTGGTACCCCACGAAGGATGTGTTACAGGCTTCCTAGCAGAAGATGAGGACAGTTATGCTGAGACAATGGCTTACATCTTCTCTTTGTCTCCTGAGAAAAGACTGGGGATCAGAGAAAATGCTCGTCGCTCTGTGCACAGGTTTTCTGACCAGCATTTTGAAGACACATTCCTGTTATCTGTGGAGCCGTTATTTAAATAAGTGTATAGAAGTAAATATGAACATGAGTAAAATGAACTTTTTATATTTGACTGTGTGGCACATGTAAATATATCTAAGCTATGATCCCTTGGTTCCATTCAATAAAAAGGTTGGTTTCTTTCTGTCAAGCTGTCTGCTTTATGTAACAGAGACTTTTTGTTTCTTGGGAAAGAAAAGCTTCTATGTTAACTACATGAGAGTTTGGTGCACTTTAAAACTGGATTCACAAACCATAATAGTGCTTCAGTAACAGAACTATATCAAGTTATTTTATTTATCAGGAACCTCTTTTATTTATTGAATATTTTCAGTCTTCACCTGTTTCATTACTCTATTTTGAAGTGAACATTTTTGTTTTATAGCCTTTATACCCAGAATTTTTTTCCCCCAGAATCTACAGTATGCCTGTATTTGGCACTGGTGAGGCTGCACCTCAGGTGATCAGTTTGATCAGTTTTGGGCCCCTCAGTTCAGGAAGGGTGTTGAGGTGCTGGAGCATGTCCAGAGAAGGTCAACAGAGCTGGTGAAGCGTCTGGAGCACAAGTCTTGTGAGGAGCATCTGAGAGCGCTGGGGGTGTTTAGCCTGGAGAAAATGAGGCTCAGGGGAGAACCTTATCACGTTTTTCACCTGCCTGAAAGGGGGGTGGAACCCGGTGGGGGTCAGTCTCTTATCCCAGGTAACAAGTGATAGGAGAAAATGGCCTCAAGTTGAACCAGGGCTATTAGGAAAAATTTTGACATAGAAAAGGTTGTCAAGCCCTGGAACAGACTGCCCTGGGAAGGGGTGGACTCACCATCCCTGCAGGTATTTAAAAGACATGGCACATAGGGACATGGTTTAGTGGTGGACTTGGCAGTATTAACAGTTGAACTCTAAGATATTTTCCAAAATAAATGATTCTTTTAAAAAAAAAAAAAAACCTGCTAAAATCAGACTACAGACTGTAATTTTCCCTTTATTTAAGATTCACTTGGATTGTATGAAATTTTTTATGTGAAAAAATATGGTTGGAAGAACCTACATGTTTTATTAGGAACTAGGGAATGCACAATTCTCATGGCACTAATAAACCCTTTTACTGTTACTATATAAAACTCCTGAGCAGCTGCTGTTACTACGTAGGGTCAGTACCATGTAAATGAAACTAGATTACAAAGCTGTGCTGGCAGTACACACTGATTATGAAAAGCTGGAAGAGATTCTTAAAACAAGGAGTTGATTTATCTAGGGCAATAAAATACACAAACTAGGAGACTCTCTTACATGATACAAAAATGGTTAGAGTACACAATCAGAAATTTGTTTAAGCAAGACTTGTCAGGTATGTCCAGGTAAGAATAATAGATGAAATAGCATTTCAGTCTGGATGAGAATTTTTCAATGTTCAGATATCTGAAATGTACCCTGATTTGTTTTTCTTTTAAAGAAAAAGAATCAAAGCTGCCTTCTTCATGTGCATCAACACCAAATTACCCATTATTATTTTCTAAATCATCATCAGATTCTCCAAGTTTGTGAGGTAAACTCATCTTTTCTTCATCTGTTTGACTTTTATTTATTGAAAAGATGTGAGACTCTTCTGCTGGAGAAGTTGACAATTTTTCCAGAGATTCTTCCAGCTCGTGTCTGAGTTCATCTTCAGAATCTTCAAAATTTCTGTACAGTAAAACAAGAAAATTATATTAATTAAATGAATATAATTTCATAGCAAACCTTTCTCCATTCAAGGACTACCAGGGTTTTTTTAAACACTTTATAAATAATATACAAGTAACACACCTAATGTGAACTTCTGTCTCTGTCAGATTGTTTACCTGTATTTAAAAGGCAAGAGAAAAGAGCTGCAAGGCCATGTTGATATTTCTGCTGTAATATTTAATGACATTTTAAATGTAATTTTTAATGAATTTGAATTGGCTGTGACAAATTCCAGAACTAAAAGTTAAATTAGCAGACTGTAAGTTTTCTTTATTTATGAATTTTTAAGAACACAGTAAAACTTTAGGCAATGCAACCTAAAAAACTGTCCAGTTGTGGATTTTTCTCTTGATGTGCTTGACTTACGTGTCTTCACCATCTGATCTTGGCTCAAGTCTACCTTCATCAACATCAACAGCAGAGTATGTTTCTGAATCATCTTCCTTGTTTTCTTCTGGAGGCAACAGAGTTAATCTCCCTTCTGTAAAGAAAGAGAAACTTTCCCTCAGCTGTATAGTAGAAAACTATAAAAGTATGTGTAAAGGAATAGAGGAATAGCAAACAAATAAATGCTTGAAGTGTTTTGTTGTTCAAATTACAATGTAAATGTCACACTTCTGTTGATGCAAAGTAAATGTAATTTTTTTAACAGTGTTACCTTAGGAAAGTGGGCTGCAGTGCAGGTGAGTTTGAGTCAATTGCAGTGTCAGCTGTCTCACCATGGACCCTGTTGTAAAGTCACCACTGTCATTTAAATCACATGTATTTGAATAGATGCTTTTTACAGGGTTCTTCAAGCTCAGCAGTTGCAGGGGCTAGCTCCAGGTTTGTGGTACCTACCAGCCTGCTGGCAGTAGCACCTTTCCTTTGTCTAGCAAGGCAAAGGTCAGAATTACATATGAAGGTAATAGCCAGTGAGTAGGGCTTGCCCCTTTCCCTGCTTTTGAAAAGAGCAATATCCTGGAAGAGGCCTCTCAGCGCTTCAGGGACAGAGCAGAGGTTCTGTCCCTGCTTTTCTAGGTTGCCAACTGCTTCAAAATGTTGTTTCTCATCACAGACCCTCTGTCACGGGTAGAAGAAATATTACACTAAAGAAAAACATGCAGAATTTACAGGAAAAAAACATCCTACCTTTGTCTTCCTCAAAACAGATAAAGGAATCATCAGACAGCTCTGCTTTTGCTAAGATGCTCAGGAGTGTCTCTGGTGGTGTCTGTTTCCACTGCTTCCTGTTTTCTGGGATGTCTTCAGGCAGAATAACATGGTGAGCTGAAGAACACCAAGGTTCTTAGGTCACCAAAGCATTACTTAGCTCAGCACTGTCTTTTGTCAGATTCATACTTTCTAGTCTCAACACTGATTTCTTCTTTTTGTGCAATTCTGATTTTTTTTTTTTCCTTTATGGAATACTCCTGATTTTTTAATAAGTACTTGATCTGATGGATAGGGAAAAATGGTCTGGACTACTCATCACTAAAAATGTTTAACACCGGTTTTAATGGTTAAGTAACTTCTTATTAAACCTGGAACAGGCAGGTGCAGTTTCCCTGAGCAGTCCTTACTCTGAAACTTGTTGGATTCTTGGTTTGAAGGAGCTTAACAGAAGTTCTGTTTCTTTTGTGCCCAGTGGTCTTTAATCTAAGGCAGAATGAACAAAAGGTGGTGTATTAATAATATTCTGCTTTGTCTTTACTATCCATGCAAACTCTTCAGGTGATTTTTTGTCTATCTTGGTGTGCAGAGCGTGCTGGAATGCTGGAAGAGTTCCTGTTTGCAGAAACCAGCCACTGGAGATACTTGTCTGCCTGGCAATGCACACAGTGGTACTGTAAGGAGCCTAGGGACTTTTCTCAAGTGGAGCATCCCCACAGCCACAGCGGGGTGAGGTGGCACTTGTGACAGTGGTGGCACCGCCGCTGTGTGCAGAGGGAAAACAGAACTCCACCACGCTCCAAGGATGGCACTGGTACTCACTGCCCTGTTGCTGTGTGTCATCAGCTCAAGGCCTGAGAAAGTGGTGATGATTAATTGAATAGACTGGCATTTTGAGCCAGAGTGATTGATAAAACACAGTGCTCCTGATACGTATGAGCAACACAACATGATTGCAGTGTGAGAGGGGAAAGTGACAATTGTTTTCTGTGGCTTAACACGTACAATGACCTCTGCTGTTACAAAGTCCTGCAATTAAAAGCCTGCTGGATCATGTGAACATTCAGGTATGGATGAATTCAGTCTGAATTTTAGGTGCTCAAAACTTTCTCACCAAGTTCATTTCCAGCCATAGTAGGACATGCAGATGTGACATCAGCACCAGCTAAAAAATTCAGTAGTGTCTGAGGGGCTCCAGGTTGCCAATGTTTTCTGGGTTTCTTCATATCATGTATGGACTCTAAGGGGAAGAAATAGAAGAGGCAAAGTTCTTTGGATTTTTTTTGTCAAGTAGATGTCCCTGTGATTATAATATTATGTGATATAAAGAAAGAGTTCATGAGATAAACTTGCTATAGCCTGAGTTACTGAATTTATGTAACTCCTATATAATTTTCAGGATTAATACTCAGCATTGCATTTCCCCAATAAATACCTTTTGGGTAGTCAGACAGTTTTTCCAAAGCTCTGTCTGTATGATTTTCATAAACTTCCACCAATTTCTCCTTAAGATTCGCACCATCCACAAAAGTTAAAGTCTCATTGAGTTTATCTAATACCTGAAAAAACAATAAGTTACTCTGGAAGCAGTAAACAAAGATGGTACAATAGCTAATCCCTTCTCATTTTACTGTGTTTGCCAGCCAACCTCTGGTATGCACAGGAAAATTGTGTAACAAAAAGTGAAGCAGCAGGACTCAGAAGCCACATTGTTCATCAGAGGGCTGCATGGGGCTCCACAGAGATGTGAAACAAAAGAATGACAAAATAGTGCTTCATAAATTAAAAATATATATAATAAATTTTTTTTGTTGCTGTTAGGAATTTTTTTTTAAATTCTAATATACTAATAAAATCTTAATATGTAGCTATTGCATGTTGATAAGCCACAAATATAATTTTACTAAATGAAAACATAATATTGTCTGTAGTTGTTCTTGCTTTGTGATACAATACAATACCATTTCATTTCTGAAAAGAAACAGAAATGTACTAAAACAATCTACAAATTAAATTTAGCATCTGCAGACTAACTCAGTTTTGAGATAAATTCTTCCTCTCAAGCCATTTTAGAACACTTAAAAATCTGCACTCCTTCATTTTACCACGTGAAAGACTGACCCAAGTATCACCCAATTTTCTTGTAAGCAATTATCCTCTTGTAGAAGGGCAGACATATGCAACATGACAACAAATCCTCAATAGGAAGCTTCATTATAACAAAGGCAGAGGGTGATGGTAATGGAAACAAATCTTAGATCATGGAGCTGTCATGGTTCCAAATTTCTAATGTAAATGCTGTGAATATAACTAAAACATACCTCTGCTTCTTGAATGCTGTCCTCCTCAGGAAAACATACATCTAAATTAATTTCAAATTTTACTCCTCCCTAAAGAAAATTCACATGTTAATAATTTGTTCTAATAAATAGAAGCATTTAATTAAAAGTACACAGATTATATGGAACTACAAATTTGAAAATTATTCTTCTATTGAAAATAACTTCTATTTTACAACATTCTTCTTCTGCTTAAGAAGATCAAAGTTGAACATACTGGACAAAAACAGACCTCCTTAAATATAATCCTTTTCCTTTAGTGGTACTGTAAAATTACTGCATCCACTTTTGATTTTAAGGGCTTTTGGTAAACATTTAATTCAAATCATTGCAATACACAGAGTTGGTTCTTACAGCTGGTTGTCAACCAGAACTAAAATTGAATACTGTACTGCTTCCACACAATATTTCATAAAAGACTTTTAGTCGATTTCACAGTGATCTTATGGTCAGAAATATTCCTGGTATCTTATGTGCATTTCTAATTCAATTCTCGTCTCCTTCTATGATTTTGAAAGCAGTATAGGGAATCACATTTTATAACAAAATATTTTAAAATTAGCATTCTTGACTAGACTTGAATCTACTTAGACTTTGAATAAACATGAGTTCCCATGCACTACTAATGCAGTTTGATATAAGGAGGAGGAGGTAGAGATTGATTACTAGGTGGGAACATCTAAGGCGAGTTTTCCTCACATGGTCAGAAAACTCATTTATTTTCTTCTGATATTAACTTTTAACAAACAGAAAACCAGCACTCTTAATTGACTCTCAAATAACTTCATTTCCAGACCTACCATAGCAATACAGTAATTTGAAATGTACAGATATAATAAGAAATTTTTTTAAAAATACAACAGTAAAGATGGATACTTTTGTGTTATATCTCTTTTCTAATATTGTTTGGTCTTCCCTATCCTGGAGTTTGATTTGCTTAAAGTTTTCCTCCATATCCTAGAAGGAGAAAACAAAAAACAGTTTTAATTACACTCTTTGTAACTGAATATATGTATACCACATAAAGAAAGAGACTTCTTTAAGCAGCAAATATAGTCATGAATTTCCTTTACGAAGATTTTCAAGAATATTCCATTCATTGCCAATTCTCGCTTATCTGGCAAAAGAAAAACAGAAACTCTTGCACAAATTGCAAGCCTCTGATTTTTCAAAAACCCATGTTAGAAAGATACAGTACTGTGACAAGATAAAAATAATACAGATTTTTATTTTTTATGATCACATGCAAGATGACTCAAACTCATTTCATTCTGGAAAACTTTAGAAGTGATTAAAATCAAGATTTTAGTGGAAACCTATGCCTGTAAAAAGTATAGCCCTGTTTTGCAATATCTTGTTTTCTGGCAACAACTAAAAATATTTAATTACTCCTTTTCATATTATAATGACTCCTATAAGAATGCATCAGAGAAAAGCAAAGTAAATAATAGTATACAGCTTCTTCTGTGATCTGTGGCAATCAGTGCATGCCTTCAGCCTCAAGAGAAACCATAACAATTTACAGATTTTACTTTTATTCAGTTTCTCCAAAAGATGGAGAGCCCATGAAATATAGTCACAGAAGGCAGACCCAAAATCTAATGTTTCTTTATCATTATCATGCATTTCCCATCAAATCACTGGGAATCCAAATTCTCTCCTAATTTGGCTGCCTATAACCCACTTAATTTCATCAAGTGAAATTAATTTTCATTTCATTTCATTTCAGAATTCATTTTATTAAAACTCAGATCCAGGATCACTGAGGAGGATACTACTGATATTGGCAGATTTGTCCCAGAGAATGAATCAAAGACAGTGTGGGACTCACACAGAAAGACCTATTTAGAAGGAGATGGTACTGATACCTGAAGTGACTTTTCTCCTGTTCCAGATATATCTTTGTTTTCAGACTGTTGCTCAGCTTTCCCTTGCCTCACAAGATAGGTTTTATCTTGTATTTTCTGGTTTTCCTAAGGAATATTTTTTAAAAATGTTTATTTCAATTCCCAATAAAGTATTCTAGCATAAAAAAGTAAATATGAATACCCATATGTCTGAGCTTTGTTACCTGGAGTACTCCTGCTCTAACTCTGAATTCTTTTATATCATTGTGGTATTCTTCCCGAATTTTCTGCAATTGTTTCAAATACTCCTATTAAAGAACAGTAGGGTAGAATATGTTTTTAATAAACCAAAGATAGAAAGAATAAATGTATTTATATATGTTCACATAAGATAGAAGTATCTGTTTGTCACCCAAAAGCAAAACTATAGAGGTATATTGTTTCTCCGTTAAAAGATGGAAAAAGAATGGAAAAGAATCAATGATGGAAAAGAGAATCTGATGAAAAAGAATTCTTATGCCTGGAACACTACTGTCAAGAGTATAAGAAGAAAGTTTTAGGCAATTAAGGAAGAGATTCATTTACCTGTTCTTTCATTTCATTCTTTCTAGACGTGTTTTGCTGATGGTTTTTGAGATGCTCTTCCTTGGTTTTCTGCTGCTGTATTTGGTCATGATATGGGTCAGCAGAGGATGGTCGCAGTCCCTATGGATGTACAAATGAATCCCAGAGCAAATGAGTTTCATTTAGAATCCTCTCCTTTAGTGCTCACTCAATTCACTCTCCCTGTTCTACTGAAGAATGCAGTAAAGGAAAGTGTATGTTTTTGCAGGAAAAAAATCACAGTAGAATTTTACATTGTTACAGTTTTGTATGAGGAAATAAAACCTCAGGATGAACACTGCAGAGCAGATCAGGGAATTTGCTAGAGCAAAACCTTCTACCTGACAGTGTTACAGTTTGCTTTTCAAAAAACATCCATTCATCTTTGGATTTTCATTCTCCTTCTTTTACAGATTTTATTCTCTGGTTCATCATTTACCTACCATCTGTTTTTCCACTTTAATCTTGTACTGCTGGGCTTCAAACCGCCTTTGAAGAAATTCTGCAGTCCTGAGAGAAGAAAGTGATGTACATATACTATGTTTTATATCACAAACTCTGCTACCTTTGCACAAATAATTCTCTATAGGTTCTACAACATATGACAAACCGAACTTTCTTTATACTACATGGATATATAAATGTGGATAAAATATGTATAAATATGACACAACAGTAAAATAAGGAAACATTCTTTCCTGGCATTCCTTTTCCTATTACTTCAGTTACTTAAGCCTTTTGAAGAGTGCAGCAAAGGCCTTCCACCTTTTATTTGATAAATGGTTGAAAGCATTAATTAAACCAATTGTTATTGAAAGCATTAATTAAAACAAAATTTATTTCCCTGGTCCTCAAAATGAGTGGAAATTGTCATAATGGGGGCTGTATTGTCTTTCTCCTCTCTGCCTAATTCTATCAGGCAAACTTTGTGCATTTTCTAAACTTTTCCTTTGCTTTTTGCTGTAAAAAAACCATCAGTCACCTGTAAGCTCCCTGTTTCCCATTTATTTCATTTCCTGCCTCAGGAATCCACTTGTGCCGCAGGGAGACAAAACTGAATTGACTCTGTCCTTAAATAAGGCATCAGAAATTCAGGTCAGGAAAGATGTTCTAAATCTGAAGATCTGTAACTGAAACATTCTAAACACTGTTGTTGTTGAATGCAAATTAATGATTCCGTCAACTTTAAAGGAAAGCTTTGGAAGTATTCAAAATTTCTTTCTCAACGTTTTCAATGTTCATCCACACCTAAAATGGCCAGTCACAGAATGGACAGGAAATCTCCTAAGGTTGTACCTCTACTTTGTAACAGAAAAGCTTTGAAGTAAATAAACTGCTAGAGAAAGGGTCTTTATATCTGAAACAGAAATATAAGCGCTGCTTATATGGAAAAAAACCCCACTTTCATGGTCTGCTCTCACTCAGTTCCCTTCAGTGCAGAACTCCTTCTGATCTTTGTATTATTCTCATCCTGCTGTGAAAGACAGGCAGTGTTTATCCCTGGTATAATCAGAGATTCTACAGAAAGCTTACGTTTTACTTTTTACCCAGTAAAAGACGGGGCTGAGACTTGGGAGACATTTTGACAATGAAATGTCAAACACTAGGCCAATTCAAATGGAATTTCTAGATGAACAGGAATTGTGTTGTTGTCCGACAAACTTATGTAAAAAAAAAAAAGAAAAATTATCCAAGACGAAGGAGAGGAGGCATTCCGCTAAATCAGCTATGCCAGCCTTACTTACTCAGGAAGGCTGATAGTTCAAAATACGCAAGACAAAATAAATAGAGTGATGTGTTTACCAGTCGGGTGGTGGAGGAGCAACTTGTCCTTTTAGTTCATAGTAATCTTCAACTCTTTGGCTGATATGAGAAAGGTCATAATGCACATTAGCTTTCCTTTGCAAGCTCTCAAGCTTCTCATAGTAATGACCATAATGACCATGCACTCTAATGCTTCCTGGCCTTTCTGCCATATTAAATCTGGATGTCTGTGGCTGGAAATATAACAAAGGATGTTATTTATCCTGTACTCATATGTATCAGCACAAGTTTGAATTAACCTCCTGTACTTCTCCCCTGTCTGAGTTGCATGGTAATATGACTGTCTATGGTATAGTTAGTGTAAGTTTTCCAAATCCTTTCAAATATAATCCAGAAACTTCCAAACTTGTCAGGGCTTATGTGATCTCACCACTGCCTTTTCCTTTTCCCCTGTTCCATCAGCTCCTGTCATTAAGCAGCAGCTTACTCACATTGTTGTGAGTGAGTCAGCATAAGGCTTTGTACTCTGTAGCATCCTGGCCCTAGAGTCACTTCATTGTTCTGGAGCCTAAAGCACTGAATTATTTCCAGGACAGCCTCATTTTGACACGTGATAGGGAACCTGGGATGTAGCTCTGGACAGTACAGGCATTGATGGCTGCTTTCAGGGGAGCACTGTGCTGCTTCATTTCACATCTCTTTGATTACGAGCATGTGGGAGTTGGGCTTTCATTTCTCAAAGCCCTCACTGTGATGAAACATCCCTGTATTCCTCCTTTGAGACAAGACTGTCATTTCCATTTCTCATAAGAACAATGGAGAGAAGATGATCACCTAGCTAGCTGCCACTGCCTGATATAACTGTGGTCAGACATCCACAAACTTTTCCATTGTTGGAGACTATACGGTGCATGAGAAAAATGCTAAATTTTGCTTACTTTCTTACATAAATGTACATGAATCTAAGTATCACTTTCACAGTTAAATACACTAACTATTCCTCCCCATTTTCCTTCATAGATACTCTGAAAGTAGACTCATGTACCTGTGGTACAGTCCAGATTACAGTTGAATAAAAATTCATATCTGTGTAAGAAGAAAGTTTCCAACTGTCATCAAAGTTCCCAAGGAAGAAGTAACCCCAAGTGTTTATCTCATTCCTCAGTGAAGTAGGCTTTACAGTATGGTTTCCAGATGGCAATCCCAAGCAGTAGGAAGAACAAATTAGGCTATTCAAATAAATGCCAGGGGACTGAGAACTGTGACTAGTGAAGCAGGCATGCTTGACCAACTCACTAACATTCTACAATTAAATGACTGGCATGGAGACTAAGGGGACATTTCCTATCAGGCAACTGCCTTCATGCAGGCTTTTGACACTGTCTGCCATAAAATCCTCATAGGGAAGCTGATGAATTGAGAGTGAGATGAGCAGGCAGTGAAATTGCTTGAAAAGTGGCCCAAAGGATAATGATCACAGGGTGAAGCACAGCTGAAGGCCAGTAACTAAAATTCAACATCTTCACTAATGATTTAGATCATGGAGGAGAGGGGGGCAGAGTGCACCCCCAGCAGGTTTGCTGATAACACAGACTGGGAGGAGTGGCTGATACAAGACAGGGTTGTATTGCCATCCAAAAGGACCACAAAGGGCTGGAGAAATGGAATGACAGAAATTTCATGGAGTTCAGCAATGGAAGTGCAAAGTCCTACACTCTGCACCAGTATATGCTGGGAGCCATCCAGCTGGGAAGCAGCTTGGCAGGGAAGAAGAAGGGGGGGCTTGGTGGACAACAAGTTGACCATTAGCCAACAATGTGCCCTTGCTGAAAAGGTGAATGACATCCTGGCCTGCATTAGCAAAAGCATTCCCAGCAGGTCAAGGGAGGTGATCTTTTTGCACTACTCAGCATTTGTGAGGTCACACATGAAGTGCTGTATTTAGTTCTGAGCTCTCCAGAACAAAAGAGACAGTTACAAACTTGAAAAAGTCCAATGAAAGGCCTGGAGCATTATTCCTAAGAGGAAAGGGTAAAATAGCTCAGACTGTTTAGCCTGAAGGTGGGATCTTATCAATGGTTGTAGCTGCCTGAAGGGAGGGCGCAGAGAGAATGGAGGCAGACTTTCCTCTGGTGCCTAGTGACAGAACCAGAGGCAATGGGCACAAATTGAAACACAGAAGGTTCCCTCTGAACATCACAAAACATATTTTTCACTGTGGGGGAGGGTGACTCAGGGTGAGGCACAGGTTGCCCAAATAGGATTTAGAGTCTCCATCTTTGGAGATACCCAGCCAACTGGACATAGTCCTGGACAACTGGATCTAGATGACCCTGCCTGAGCAGGGGTGTGGACAAGGTGACGACCAGAAGTCCTTTTCAACCTTAACCATTCTGTGATTCTGTGAATCCTGAAGCAATATCTTCAAAGTATGGCACTATGCAAGTGTCCCTGAAACCCTGCACACTGTTTATTTGGATGTTGAAAGAATGTGGAAACATTCTGGGAATGTGTTCCCAGTGTAGGTCAAAACACTGTGGACAAAATTCTGCCTTTGATTATAGCAGTGAAAGGAAACTGTCTTTCCAACTTAATCCATCTCTGGATTTGCACTGGCACAAATGTAACTGTGAGGAAAATGAAGTCCTACGTTCCACACAGGGCCAGTATTAGTCATCGTTAGTGTTAGTGATTGCATGATGGACGCAGTTCTGGGAATTCCACATTACCTATCAGCAGTTAAGCTCATGTAACTGCAGTGTGCAGATCTGGGGGCTCCCAGATCCTAAATGGGCTGTGCTTATGTCCATCAGCATTCAAGGTACTACCTCATGCTCTTAAAGATAAACATAAATGTGTGCAGTGATGCTAAGAAAGAGGCTGGGCATAGCATACAGCTGATATCCTGCCTGAGGAAAGGAGAGGGTGGAAAACAAGCGAGAGACAAAGTGGTTGTGAAAAACTGGGCTTGCACTTGGGAGAAGGCTGTCAGTAACAAGTATCTGAGGCAATGGCAGTGAGTGCTGGTGATTTTGCCCATGAATGAGCTGTCAGAAGGGTTGAAGTAACAGGATCAGTGTATTTGCTTCTATAGCAAAAAATGCAAACATGGAGCTTATTCATCTTTGTGCAAACATAAATGCTAAGCATGTCTCAATCCTTTTGTTACAAAAGACCATACCAAAGCAGCCTAGATTCAGTATTTCCCATTTAGGCTTTCAAAACATCTCTTCTGAGGATTCAGGTACGTTTAACTGTCTCTACTGTCCTAGCAGAAGCATTAAGCTAAATACTTATTTTATATATATATAGCCAAACACATGTCTTAAGCCTTTTAAAGTAACTTTTTAAGTGCAGGCATTTGCTTTCTAAAGATTATATATATATATATATGAGTGTGTGTGTGTACAATAATGTATAATTCTGAAGATAATTTTGTTTGTGTATAAATATATATATGTGTATATATATATATATAGATATGCGAATATGGATACACAGTACCTGAATAATAGGCTGTTGTACTCTTGAAGGAGGCTTCCATTCATTTCTTTGAAATAATTCCTGTTTCTTGAAAGGCATCACTATTCCAGATTCCAGAGAAAGTGGGTCCTGGACTCTTGTTTTCTGAAGTTTATATGCTTTTTAACAATAAGAGATTAAAAAAACGCATTCTGTGCTCTCTTCATAATTAATGATCATGTGGTTGCAAACCATAGTAGGATGCCCACACCTAACATTGACAGGCTGGGTTAGTAAACATTTCTTACATCCTTTCACCATCATCACCATACCTCACACCATACCACACAAAGTTTTGCACAGCACACTGAATAAGAGGGAGACCTTTATATTCATGCTAGTTCCAAGAACACAAAACAGGAGGTCTAATTCACAGGCTCTGGGTGCCTGTGCTTAGGCATTCTCTTTCTAAACCAGACCCTCCATATGCTACAAATCACAAGGCAATGTTGTAGTACCTGTGAAATTTGGAAAAAAAGGCTGAAAAGTGAAAAATCTACTTTTACAGTTTCCCATGTAGGAGAATACAAGTACAGACCTTTCCACTTTGGTCAGTCAATATTTTGCAAATATCTTAGATGCAGTAATGAAAAGCAGTATCCTTTCTTGGGTTAAGTAGTTTCTAAGTGAGTTTTAAATCTTACATGAGTATTGACTGTTAGACTATCATGTTTGGAAGACAAAATGTATTAAAACTATGATTAAATGATCAGAGATTTTTTTTAAGTGCCTAAGTTATTTAGTAGTTCAGGCTTCTGTCCAAATTACATTGGTTGTGCGGGCAGATAAACCTCATTGAAAGTAATTTTCAGAATAACAGGGGTTCCTACACTACTGATTAATATTTTTTGGTGGGGGGAGGTGGGGGGAGGAGGGGAGTCCAAAGTGTTGTTAAGTAATTACCTAGGTTATTTTCACAGAACTGTTTTAACTGTTTTGATATTCCAAAGATAAATTCGAGGACTCATTGTGATATAATGAAGAATATATAATTACAACAAAGTTACACTGCCAGAAACATGCCAGATATTCAACAGTTCATAGACATATATTTAGCCTCATTCAGGTTTTTTTAGAAACTGCATACATAATCTGGTCTATCAATGGGCACTAAATCAAAATAGAGTTCACTGTCTCACAGTTTAATAAAATTTGTAAGACTTTGTAAAATACTTTCTTATTGTTTTGTAAAACACTATGGAGCATGTCTTACAAGATTTATGCTTTTTTCACACAGTAAGGATGCTTTTCATGTGACAGACACAAACAAGACCAAAGCCTCTCACTTCTGGAAATTCTGTTTTATAAAGAACCAAGATTAACGTTTCAGCACTTTCCTACGGCAGCTCTTCTGGATGACCTCAGCTGAAGAGCTGGTGTTAAAGCTGTCTTTCCCTGAACAGGACAGCAGTGCTTCTTGCCTGGGTGAATGGTTCTGCTGTTGCAGTTCTCTCCTCTGTTTACTTTTACACTTGGGTGAAACCCTTCATCCAAATGTGCAGTAAAGACTGCTGGAGAAAGTTACACCCAACAGTTGTATCATAACTAACAAATGTTACTGTAGAACTAATGATACACAATATTATTATCATTACCTTGTATCTGCTTGCCTCTAGAGTGAGATGCTGAAGGCCTTTTTCTACATACCACAGCGTGACTGAGTTCTTCCCGTGCTGCCTATCAGAAAAAAACAATATCTGACAGAACTGTTTATGCTACTTTCATACCTGTTTTCTCTCAGCAGGCAGCGGCACAGTCACTCACCTCAGGGGGCAGATACCTGAGAACAAGTTTCTGCAAGAAGGGCTTCCTTAGGATAGAATTGATGGATGGTCGATCTCTCGGAGATATTTTAAACAGCTGGGAAATCAATATCCTCAGGTCGTAGGAATAGTTAGGAGACACTGGTTGAAAACGTCCTCTGCAAATCTTCAGCACCAGCTCATGCAAACTATTGCCTTGAAACTTAATTAGGGAAAACAGTGAAAAGAGGACAGTAAGTGTTGCTGGTTCAGAATTATGGACTAGACAACCCAATTTGAAAACAGGTACTTGTTGACACAATCATAGAATGGTTTGCATTGGAAGGGACCTCAAAGATCATCTCATTCCAACCTCCCTGCCATGGGCAGGGACACCTTCCACTGGACTGGGCTGCTCAGAGCCCCATCCAGCCTGTCCTTCCGCATCAGGGATGAGGCATCCACAACTTCTCTGGGTAACCTGTGCCAGTGCCTCACTACCCTCACAGTAAAGAATTTCTTCCTAATATCTATGTTTACCATCTTCCAGTTTAAAGTCATTCTCCCTTGTCCTATCATTACATACCCTTGTCAAAAGTCCTTCTTCATCTCTTTCAGGCCCTCTTTAGGCACAGAAAAACTGCTGAGTCTCCCTGGAGCCTTCTCTTCCCCAGGCTGAACAACCCCAGCTCTCTCAGCCTGTCTTTGTAGAAGAGATGTTTCAGCCCTCTGATCATTTTTGTGGCCCTTCTCTGGGCTCATTCCAATAATTCCATGACCTTCCTTTGCTGGGGGCTGCAGAGCTGGATGCAGCACTCCAGGAGGGGTCTCTCAGAGCAGAGTAGGTGGGAGAAGCCCTGTGCTGTGGAATCCCTCCGCAAATCCTTCCTTGCTAACCATGGTTTGATGTAGAAAATTAATATAAATACTCTCTGATCATGTTTTCCTGCTTTTAGCTGCACAACTAAAAGGTCTAATGACATCTGTACCTGGAAGAGTTTTATTCACCCTTTGCTGTCAGACAGTAACACAGGACCCCATCTTTCCAGAATGAAACATGATGTGTTTTGCCAAAAGCTGCTCAACAGAGATCTACATACATATTGTCTTCACAGGGTCCACCTTCAAAACCTCACTTCACCCAGCAGCCTCTGCATTCTGTGCTCCCACCAGAATGAAGATATAATCCTTATCTTTTAACAAGTGACGCCAGTCAGATAATTCAGTCCTCTCAGCTCACTGAGAGACAAAAAAAAACCCAAGTTTTTTTTTCTTTCTAAAATCACCCTTTTATTTATGTGGCAATTCCGAAGGTGGTAGAATTGAATTCACCTTAGCTTCGCTGGCATTTCCTGTCTACCTGTGCATTGAGTCACTGCCTTCACACTGAAACAGTGGGCAGCAATATGGAATAAAACACCTAATATTCATACAAAGTAATATTTCATGTTTTGCCACTTTGTGAAATCAGCAGTTTTCTTCAGCAGTATCCCCCTTGCTCCTAGCTCAGCACAATTTGCTCTATTAGTGCTGCTCTACCTTCTCCCACATCCGAGCTCAGCAAAAAGTCAACATCTGCTGGTCCCAGGAATCTGATCCTTTTCCTGCTGTCAAGATTAGTTTATGCTGTGTTCCCTTCTCCATATAATAGCCACAGGCTGAGGCTCAGACCAGGCTGAGGACAACACAGCTTCCTAAAGATGCTATCTCGGCTGTTTTCTGACATAAATGTGCTTTCAAACAAAATATATTGCCTTTAGGAAAATTCTTCCTGGGACTCAAACCACTTTCTGGGGAAATGTGGGGTTTAGGTCCTTTAGTAAGTGTAGACTGGTCTTTTCAAATAGAAATGAGTAAAATTATAATACCTAAGCCTAGTCTTGAAAGCTGTCTTTTATTCCTTCCATTGTTTATCTGTCTTGAAAACGTTTAGTAATTTTTAAAGAGCCAATATATCTTCAAAGTTTGTACACATGCATATATGTAAATTATAGGACTACAACATAATACTTTTTATTTTATTACACACAAAACAGATACAATATGAAAAGTTCAATATTAGCAGTCGTTCTTTAATATCAATAAATAAGATGAAAATAACTCTTGTAGTTGACTGTGAATACTATTACTACTACAGGTTTTGCAAGGTGACCACTATATTTTCTAATAATATGATAAGGAGATGATTGTACAGTACTTACAGGATGCTTTAGTGCACACAGCTCATAAAGCACACAGCCAAGAGACCAAATATCTCTGTGAATAAGAAGTAAAGTTTCAATGAAAAGTCTATAATATTTTCATCCATGTAATCAGTACCTCTTATCAGCTCCCAAATTTATTACCATTATTCTGTCACAGACTGGTGAAAATTTTATTTTTTCTTAAGATGCACTAAAAAGAACAACTAGAAATTTATTTTTAGTTGTGGCACCAGTGTTTCTATGGTATCTAATTAGGTTTTTTAATTGTAATTTGAAAAGGCACATGATACAGGAAGTCTACTTAATATTTATAGCACGATGAAGGACAAAGCTGATTTGATAGCTGGGGAGACAATACAGGAGTAAACTTGTCTGAATAGCACCTGAGAGCTGAGATGCTACTCTGAGCTCCAGGACATTTGGTGTTGATCATATTCCCCACAAGGAGAAGGGGGTCTAGGCTCACTCACCTCCTGACTTTGCAGTGCTTCTCATCTGGTATTTTGTGGTAAGCCTCAGACCTATTTATCTTTCCTGCAGCTGGCTACTGCAAATTTCCAAAGCAGCCAAACTAGCAGTTTTCATTTTAGTGTGCTTTTATAAATAATAAATGAGTGTATCAAAAATCTTTACACTTGGAACTGTAAAGATGCATTGTTTCTTACATCTTGGAAATTAGATAAATTTGGTATTTGATGAAGAAGCAGATTAAGCAAAGGGAAAAATACTGGTTTGCAATTCCCACCACTACTAACAAGAAGTATTAAATGAGAGTTTAAAATAGAAGTAATTTTATAAAGCCGAAATATATAATTATATTAAGCCTTAAGATTAATCACAGCAAAGTCATGATTGCTATATTTGGGACATTGTAAGTGAAAATACTACTGACATTTTTGTATACTATAAGGTAGTTGTTGTGTACAATGATGCACCTAATCATTGTACACAATAATACAAAACTTCACAAAGGGTGACCATGAGAAATTCCCATGCTCTGTACAAATACTGATTTAAATCATATTACTATTCTTTTAAAATATTCTTTAAAATATTTATATTATTCTTTAAAATATTCTAAAAAGTCCGGTCATGCCTGCACATCCTCACACACGTAGGAAGGAAAGAGACTTACGTTTTGTTGTTGTATGGTCGATTTTCACATATCTCAGGTGAAAGGTAATAGGGGGTCCCTACACAGGTATGGGCAAACTCTGTAGTACTAATGAAACACAATGAACAGAAAGGCTTACACACTGCAAAAAACTGGCAAACAACTGAACTAGAGACTTCTCTGCCACAGGTTAAAACAGGGGACATTACTTCTGCTCTCCAAATAGCTGAATAATGGAACATCCCATGAAAAACTACGGCATTTCCCAGTTCTGTGTGAAGTTCTGTGTAAGTTCTCCACTGTTTTAATAGTGGAGAGTGTTTGCACTTCAACAGAAAGCACAGCAATTCCCTGTCCTTTATCTTGGTCCACAAGCCTTTCATTCTATTTTCTCTCTTATAGCTGAGGAGGGGAGTAACAGAGCTTTTAAGGACACCTGGCATCCAGACAGTGTCAGCTCTCCACAGAAACTTAATTCACTAGTTACAGGACAAAAAGTACTGTCAAGCACAAATTATATTGTTGTATAAGTCTATTACATTTTGGTTTTGTTTTTTTTTTACATATTTTATTTTCTGAATGTCTTGGACATTCAAATTCTGAGGTTTACTTCCTATCTGCTGGGTGCTGTTCTGCTGTGTAGAAACAATCGTTACAGCAGCTATGCCCAGAACACTTCCAAAGGAAGACACTCTGGGCATCAGTAGTCTACATACTGAGAGCTGAGTTCTGTCAAAGATAATCAAAAAGCACAAAAAGAGATCAAATCTAAGCACTTCCCTGTTGTTATCATGCCCCCGGCATGTTTTGGCCACACCTGGCCACTATCCAGGATAGGCCAACCTTGTCCCCAAAGTCATTAAAGACAAGGCCTCCCTTTTTGGGAGAACAATAGAGATGAAAGGCCAGCCATGCTATGTTCTCAGGCCCAGGTGGTCATTCTGGGTATTTAAAAAAAATAAACATAGGCTCTGTCTTGGACAACACACAACATATGTCCAAACTCTCTTCCTTTACTCTCTCTTTAGTTTTAAATGCTCTTCACTTTTGTTTTTATGAGATAACAGAAGTCATTGCCAACAGCTGCATGAGCAAGGACTGTATCTCCAGAAACAGATCTGTGGTACCATGCAGGATGGCATGTTTTAGGATAACAGGAGAAAATGTAGTGTCAGACCCTTTGTATCCCTTCAGCAAGTACAATCCACAAACAATTTGCATGTTCAGGCTGCATTCTGGACATTCACAAACATTCCATTTGGGGCAGGTCACAGACTGATTAAAAACCATGCTTACCTGTTCATCTGTCTCGCTATGCCGAAGTCCCCAAGCTTTGCCACCTTTCCATTATTGCTAAGAAAAACGTTCTGCAAATAAACCCAAAAGCAGTATGTGATAATGAAAGCTGGCAGGCCTTCTCGAGCATATGTTTCACAGGACAAAATAACCCCCTCTCCAGTATCAGTTTTACTACCTGTGTTTTTATATCTCTGTGTAAAATCTTCTTGTCATGAATATGCTTCAAGCCCAAGGAGATCTGCACAAACCAACTGAGAATCTGCGATGAAAGTTACAGAGATAGATACCTAAGAATTAGTGTGACTTTAATGGGGCATCTTACTGAAATATATAAAATAAAGACAACAACAAAATCTAAAATATATAGAACATATGCAATGTAAAACAGTGAAAAAGGTATTTTTAAAGTTAATGCCATAGATTTTTCCTTTCCATTTAGTGTTCTCACTAAACTAAATGGAAATAGATACCTACCCTACTTCCCTTATCACCATCAAGTTTTCCCTGACTGTGCCAGGACATGCACTTGTGAACAAGGACTGAAGAATCATGCCAAAGGAGAATAAGAATAATAGACCTTTTTTAATAAGTGAGGGAGTGCAAATAACTAAGACAGAATTGGGAAGTGGCCTCTTAATCCTCAGTGATGGAAGTCATACCAGCCAGCAGTAGTACTTGTAGTTGTACTGAATGTGATCCAGGAAACAAAAAAAAAAAAAAAGAAAAAAAAAAGAGAAAAAAGAAGGACTGAAATGTGGTGAAAGAAGTGAGATATAAAGAAACTTGTATAATAAGTAAGCACATGTGTTTATCCTTTATCCTTGGCCCAGTACAGCTTTTAAACATATATTTAATTTCCAATATACACGTGTCTTCTTAAATAAGGGTCTTTGGACTAAATTAAGAAACAAAACTACAACTTGCTGATATACTTCTCTATTTAGGAAAACTCATGCACATGAAAGACTTTGATTCAAGTAATAACCTTCTATTTAGCAATGCTTGACATAAAATAGATAATTTCCTGATTAGGGCTGATGCCACAAATGAGGCTTTCTCAGAAGTACATTTGAAAATATAGTTTAACACTATTATGTTAAATTGGGAAAATTTGCTTTCATTTCTTTGATTAGCAGATGTATCCTTAGTTTCTATACTTCATTCTTCTGTCTGTATTTCTTCTGCCTTGTACTGGATATGTATTATTCTGTGGCATTGTCAAGGGATTTGTGTGTTGGTTCTCTCCTTTGGGCCTCCATGATATGTGGGTTTGTCTTCTCTGTATTTTCTTTCATGTTCTCTCTGCCTCTAGTATGACTCCCAATAGGATCTTAAAATTCATGATTACTGAACCAGTAATTCACTTTCAACTGACTTCTCCACCAAGGAGTTCCTCTTTTACTACTAAAGCAAAAAGAAAAGTCACAATACTTTTTTTTTTCTTCAGTTTTATGCCTTAGAGTATATTTCCACTAGCAGGTTGGATAGTATCTCTTTGGTTTCTAAGCAAAATTTTATTGTTCCTGCAAAAGTAGATTTTATTTATTACTAAATAATCCCAGAGTTCAGTCCACTAATTCCTACATAAAGAAAATTTCCTTCAGAAAGTTAAGAGTTAGTAAAAAAATAAGGGAATAAATAAGGGATAGTGGGAAATCCTATTTCTGTGAATTGCAGTACTTATCATACTCCCTATTTACAAAATAAAATATACATGAACATGGCCTAAAAGCAGTCAGATATCTGAGCTTGTTTCTCTGTGCTGGTTTAAAATTTAAATGGCATCAGAGAAGTTGTGACTGAAATGAAATGAATGAGAGATTTACCACAGACTTCAGTACGAAAGAGGATATGCTGTGATGCAACTAGCACCAACAAATTAAGAATTTGTTTGTAATAGATCCTCCCAATAACTGGAAAGCACTATTTAAAAGAAGGTCTTCATGGTTTAATGGGTATATTACTAATGTAAAGAAAAAGTACATCTATGACACAAGAAGCAATAGGAGGAAGGGGGCAATAAAAAAGTCATCCTCATACTGCTAATGAATTCTTTTCAGACCTTAAAGAGTGCTAAAAAACCTTTCCATACTCCAACTAAAATCACCAAAGTTTTCTTTAAAAGTTCATTTATTACTGAATAATTCAAACCATGTGTTTCACAGAATATATTCTTCCCTCTAAAGAAAATGTCTTTCACCTGGTCCTCATCAAACAGCACTCCATGCTGCATATTTATCCTCTTCATTAAATCTCCACCATCACAGTATTCCATCACAATATATAGCTTGTTCTTTTCTAAAAGGAAAAGCATAATTTTGTCTTTATTCCTGTATTATTCATTAACACAGCAACAACTTATTTTTATTTTTACGGTCCTTCTTTCAAAAGGTAGCAGTTAACCTCTACCTGCTCCTCCTTTTTAAAGACTAACTGAGAAACCAGTGAAACCTGATGCAAAAATAAGATGTGAAAATATATTTAAATGGAGACTTAGCAAAATATTAAACACATGAGGAAATCCACAAGAGACCCCACTGAGAGATGTTCTTACAGGAAACTTAGCAGAATGCTCCAAAGTTCAGGTTTTTTGCTCAATAACTAAGTATGCAGTAAGGCTTGGGGAAAAAGTTAAAAGTAGACAATATTCCAAAAAAGCAAAAATAAAGAGCAGAGCTTGCTTAATAGAAAAATTCAACCTATTCTTACCTCTCTGGGGTTAGAAAACTATCTGATTTACATGACCCCTAAAACATTTACAGTCCTGGTCACAGAGAACAATTTGAACAGAAGCTGCAACTATAGCTTTTATGACATAAGGCACTGCTTATGGGAGAGGGAATTAGCTTTCATGGTGAATAGAATTCCTTCTATCTCCTTCAGTCCTGAAGAATTCTTTATCCTTAAGTGGTAATTCAAAATATATCTGAAGAAAAAAGGCTAGCACAGCATTATGAGATTGATACTTGATCCCTGGAAATAGTGTTGTATCAAGGTATGAAATGCCAATACTGTTTTTACATTCCAGATGCTGAAAGACATTTTCAGAGGTACTAACAGATGGCATTTCTATTTAATAGCCTCTTTTTGTGCTTGCCTGTTTTGTCTGCATGTACATGCATACATAAGTATGTATATATGTGTGCATGAATAGATGGTGTATGTATCATTATCATATAATGTCATATGTATGTGATGTGGATAAACAAAATATGAGGAACCCAAGGTTAGACCAGATAAAATGTTTATTCTATTTCTCACCTATTTGGTCAGCCATTTGTCCTATTTGATCAGCTTATTCCTTGCTACACTCAAAAGCTCTCCTCTATTGAAACTCTTAGAAAATTCCCATTAAACTGTGGACTCCAACAAGAAATCAAGACTAAAGTTCAACTTGTACAGTACAGAGAGCTCAGGATCTAGGATTCATGCCAAGTATCCACTCACACAGGTGAAAAACACAAGTGATGCCTGAATTTGATGCCTGGTGTCCATTTCTAGGAGTTGAGACCTTTCCCCATGTTTAAGTAAGGCATTAGGGACAGGGCTAGGAGTGGTCAACACTAACAATGCTAACAATGTAGGTTTTCTGCCTTCCACTCCTTCCACCACAATTAAAACAGAAATGTTAAAAGCAACCTTGCAAAGAAGCATAGAAGGTTACAATATTTGCATGCTTCATCTGGGCCAGCAGGATGACTTCTTTCTCAGAGGCTTCTTTTTCTTTCACAGGCATCTACAAATAATTAAGAAACTAAATTCTAGCAATTATATATTTAACCTTTTTCAAAAATAGTCACATTACCACACTATTCCCACAAATACAAAAATACAGTGTACCAAGACAATGTAGAAAAATTATAAAATATGATGTATATACAACATTAAAAAAAACTGCAGTGTATGTTTGAAAGTGTATTCAGTAATTGGAACATGACTGAAGTCAAACCCAATTTCAACATTTTACAAACAGGCAAATGTATACCTTTAAACTTAAGTTAAAGAATTTAAACTCTAAAGTTAAAGAAATCCCATAAGAATTTGAAAAGTATGGATGCAGATGACCCTGTAATGGCAACAGATGTGATGTCAAAAGATCAAAGTAAAAAGAAAAGAAATCCTTCATTTTACTGGTGTTACTTGTTCTTGTAACATACCAGGCAAACTCTTTGCCCTCTTACATTAATGAAAAACTTCTATTTAGCTTATTATGATCACACTTCCATCAACACTACTTAAAAATTCATTTCTCTGAGTATCTATCCTTCAAAATGTCCTCTTGTATTGGACTGTAAAGTTTCTTACCTTCATTCTTAAGAAATATTTTTGAAATGTAATCCTTAAAGACTTAAAAATCAGTAACCGAATAAAACACACTCTACCATATTAAAAAAAAAATAAATCTCTTGACTTCAAAGTAGCAATTTTCTGTCTCCAGCTTCTGATTTTTGAACAAGTGGGATTCACAGTAACATTTCATTAGCAGCCATTCTTTTAGTTGTACATCAAAATCTAAGATTAGAAATGCATGGGGTTTATTGGTCACGAGCAGAGAGAGAAACTATTCAGCTTTTAATTTAGCTGTCATTACTCATGTATCAGCTTTTCAGGTTTGAATCTGGAAGGCATACAGCTCTTTCTAGAACTCATTCTTCTACTGTAATTCTCTAATATATTAGAAATTCACTGGGGTGGCCCAGAATAGCAACAGACCTGTCAAAAGCATGTAGGCACTCATTGAAATGGACTGTTCAAACCCCTGAACTGAAATCACAGAGATTTGAAGTGCCTTTATGGAACCAGATCCAGGCATGGTACTCCCCCAACACCTGAGCAAGTGGTCCTAAGCTGCCTCTGCAGTCAGTGGGAAGGAAGGCAGAAGCTTCATGGCCCAACTGAGCTCATTCTAAATCAGAAATCTAAAACACATGTGACCAACAGCTTCCTAAAATGACTTAATTCTCTTGTTCTCCTTGAAAGGGTGTCTGGCCAAGCAGCTCAGTTGCTGACAGCACCAGAATGGAAAATTAAAATCAGACGAGATTAATCGAACTGCCATAAACAAAAATGAGAATTGCAAAGAATCCATGGTGAATTACTCCTGTCTGAAAGATGGATGTGGGAAACAAGGAAATTAAAAAGTTTAGAGAAATTTACCACAGAATTGTGATTTGTTACTTTAGTGGCAATATTTTCATTGTAGTTGAATCAACTATTACAGAATTTGAATTAGGCAGTGCCACACACTGTAGGCAGAAAGAAGCTTTGAAAAGAACAAAAATGCAGTAAAAAGCTAAGACTTAATATCAAAACATGTATTTCATCTGTGCTTTTAAAATAATAAATTCATAAAGAATACAATCTTTGGAAAGCTTAGTTCTACATAATTGAGATGGAACTACAAAGGAGATAAAAAACAACCTAAGTTCATACCCAGCTAAATGCAAGTAGCATAACCTGGTAAATACAATTCAGGTTTTTTTGTTTTACCTTAGTTAAATTGATCTCTTTGATAACACATGGCTCATCATCCATTTTTCCTTTTGCCAAAAATATTTTGCCAAAAGATCCTTCTCCAATTTGTTTAATGAGTTCGTATTTATCCATGATGTATTGTTCTTAGAGCAGTGGCTAAAATAAAAATTCCCCAAATTAGTACTGCACATAGCACTTTAATATGCGAGTTGGTGCTACTGAAATAGGCACTACCTTTTAAGGTTGTCATTTTTATTACTTTTTGTAACATTACTGCTGTTGATTCTTCCTAAAAATACCATGTCCTGGAAGTATGCAAATGATTGCAGATCTTAACTTTTAATAAGCAGCAAGTTTATAAGTGTCTAATAAGGAAAAGCATAGTGCACCCTAAAGTAAATGGATGGAAAGGAAGTACAGAGTACTGTATAGGATTATGATATGATTTTGTAAAGAGTGACATTATTTCGTGAATGGAACAATACTGTGGAATTGATCTTTTAATGGAAAAAAAATCTATTCCATATTGATTTAGTTTATACTGGTGTGATCTAAAGCTGTCTGTTAGATCACACTAGCATAGTGTGATCACAGCAGTGCAGTCAGATCTCACAAGATGAGAAGCCACAGGATGCCATGGCCAAGTGAAGTTGGGGATCAGGGGTAGTGCAGAAACCTCTGTGAGGAACACTGAAGTCACTGGGTACTTTCAGTGGTTCCACAGGCAAAGCTGCACACCTAAATACGAGCAAACACTACCAAACTGTTCTTATTACTTGTCCCGAGCTTTAGCAAGGGAGATTTGCTCCGATACCAGACGTTCCCCACCAGGCAAGCTCTGCAACAGGCTCCATCGCTGGCAGCCCCCGAGGGCCACCGGCAGGGCAGCAGGGCGACCTCGGGACGTTTGGATTTGGGTGTCTGGGTCAGAGCCAGCTCTGCCGGCAGCCGCAGCTGAGCAGCGGCACCGGGGACAGACGGGCAGGGGGTGCGCTCCGCCCGGGCTCAGCCCCGCATCCCCAGGCGACAGCCCGGCCTCCCGCCGCCCCGGAGGGCAGCGCCCGGGCTCACGGGCTCCGGGAGGGCGGCAGCGCCTGTCCCGAGTGCCGCGGGCACCGAGCGCGGCTCGGGCCGGGCCGGGCACGGCGCGGAAGGGCGGCCCGGGGCACGCAGCGCTGCGGCCGCCCCGCGTCCCCATGGCGACGGGACGCGCCGGAGGGCAACCCTGGTGGGGCCGGCCTGCCCTGCCGACCTGCTCGGCTCGGCCCGGCCCGGCTCGGTTCGGCCGGCCCCAGCCCCGGCAGCAGCCTGGGGCGCCGGGGGGACGCGGTACCTGGGTGCGCTCAGCCACCTCCGGAGCCCGGCCGGCCGCGGGGAGGAGCCGGCCCCGCCGCAGGAGTGGCGTTCGCAGCGCCCTTCGGGAGCGGCGGGAGCTTCATTTCCCGGACACAAAGCGCCCCGCCCTCCCACGGACACGGATTTATGGTATGCATGGTCGGTGGTAGGAGTGGGGTGGCCTGAAAGGAAATCTCGACTGCCTGAAGGTCTTGAATCCTTGGTGGAAACTCACGTACCAGCGTATGTGCAGTAGGGGAGGTGAGGTATGAACTGGCTCCACACCAGAACTAGAGATTTCCTAAAGCATTCCTTGTGTATTATTCCTAATATTATTTATTACAAGGACATACTCTAGGACAGCTTCTCCAGGAGAGCTCTGCCAAGAGGATTTGTGCTCTCCCTTGCCACATTTTTCTTGCAAAGTGTCTATTTATTAACCAGAACAGAGTCCAAACCTGACACTGCCCACAGCGCTCTCAGAAGCAAGAGCCTATCTCCGATCAAAGTCGGAAAATTTGTCCTTGTTCATGAATACATTTGCTTCCTTTCACACATGCAGTGGCATATAAAAAACTCCTTTCACTGAATCAAGGCAAAAGTTCAGTCTCAAAGAATTTTCAGGGGACTAATAATGGCACTCACTACTATTTATCATAGCTAAATGTTTCCCATAAGATGCCCTTCAAAGTTATACATGTGTATGTATTGGGTTTGTGGGGCAGGGTTTCAGTAGCACCTGCTACAGGGGTGGCACCTGCCAGGAGCTCCCCATGTTTGACCAAATCAATGCCAGACAGCTCCAAGACAGACCCACCAAGCTGTGTCCCCATCCATGCCCCGCCCTCTCCCCTTCCCTGATCCGTTATCCCAGGGGTGCCACTACCATCGCTGATGGGCTCAGCCTTGACCAGTGAAGGTTCGGAAACTGAGTCCAGGAAGAAGGGAAAGTAGGAGAAAAGTGTTCTAAGGTTTGGGCTTATGTTTCATTACTCTGCTCTTATTTGGTTGGTAATAAATCCTTTTCCTTAAGTCAAGTCCATTTTACCTGTGACAGTAACTGGTGAGTGATCCCTCCCTGTGCTTATCTTGACCCATGAGCCTTTCATTAAATTTCCTTTTCCCCTGCTCAGCTGAGGAGGGGAGTGACAGAGAGGCTTTGGTGGCACCTGATATCCACCCAGCATCAGCCCTCCACCACAATGCTGCATTTTATTATGTACTCAGGAAAAACACCTTTACACCTTCTCATAGTGCTACACCATTTCCTAGAAATATGACAAGAGGACAATTTGAACAATGATATAATTTAACTGAGCATTTCTGCAAAGCTATTACCAATTCCAAACATATTTAATACATGGACTTGTTTAGCCATCTGCAAGTGTTCTTTCTAAAAAAGTTTATTGTGCATTTTCCAGCCTCGGTTTTGTGATACAGAAAACATGCCCACTCAGACTTTTTTGACTGAAATTATTTAATGAATAATGAATTTATTTATTAACAACAACTTGGATACCAGCACACCTAACTTCAGCTAAATTCAGGTTTTCAGTCACTCTGTTTCAATACCATTTGTAGTTCTGACACCCAGTCCGGGTCATCTTCCTCAAAGTCCCTAAAAACAATTTCAAAAAATGTTGTTTTGAAAAGCAAAATACAACTTCATAAATCTTTAGTTGCTTTTTTCCCCCGAAGAAATTACCCTGTAATTAGGATAAATTATGTTTAAAATTTCTGCACAAGAGACTTGCTTCCTGCCCCACTGTGATTAAAGAACCAACATGGTTCTTTATGATTCTCTGTGGAATTTACAAAAGTAGTTTCATCAAAATCAAAGACAAAGTAATATATTAAGAGACTGCAAATGTGTTGGCAGTTGACAGCCTGCAGCTGAACTGCAGCAATACAGGCCGAGGCAGACATCTCTAGGTGCCACAAAAATAAACAGTGACACAAACTGAGATTCTGACAATCTGAGAACCATCCCCAAAACATACACACATCCAAAACTCACAGCATTTTTGTTCATACATTTTAAGATAGCAAATGCTACTAAATTTCAATTTCATTATGTAAGAGAAGGATGGATTTAGATGCTGAAGAAAAATACTATTTTTTTTCTTTTCAGGGGAATATTGTTATGGAAAAATCTCTTTGAGGAATCAAAGAAAACAAATGCAAGGACATCACTTGGACTTACGTGTCATCTTCATCCGATCTAGGTTCAAGTCTCTCAGAATCTATGACAATAGCTTCATGTTCACCATCTACTTCATCAGATGCTTTGCTTTCATCAGAAAGTGGACCTCTTAATATGTTTTCAGAAGCTTTGAAAATATAAAAATTAAAATGTCATCAAAATATTTTAGTTTTTAAAGTAGAACTATTAAGAATATAAATAAATAATAGTCTAATTCATCCCCAACTTGTAGCAGATTCCAGGGTAAGCTGTTACCTGTTTTAGGTGGGAAGATAAACTAGTAAGGCAACTGAAGTGCAGAACAAGTATTTGTGGCTGTGGCTGTGCACATCTGTACACTGCAGCTGTCTTCAGCTGTGCCATCTGACCATCCTGCCCTCAAACCAGGGCACACTGCCATAGTGAGGAGTGATTCACCTGATGGGGCTACAGTGCATTTCCTGCATCTCCCTAACACACACACACCACACAGCTCAGCAGGAGGGAGCACATAGCAGGCGTCTGTGTTTTGTCACAACCTCATTCAGCTGTTGAGCTGCAAGTGAAAGTCCATCATGAAGAGCTGTAGTGGAGATGTACAATCACTCATGAATTCCAAACTTGGCTTTTCTAAGTCCATGTTTCATTTGGTAAACTTAAAAATAACCCAAAAACTAGCCTGTTGTGACATGAACTCAGGTGCATGATCTGTATACACAGGAGCTATATATGGGAAAAACAAAAAAAAAAAAAAAAAGAAAAAGCTTTAATAATAAACCTGTTTGCAAAAATGTTTGCCCAGAACATGGGGATTTACCTGGTGTATAAATTGTGTATGTTTTAAATGCTAAGCTAACATCTGCATTGCTGAGCATGTCCATCAGGGTCTGAGGGGGTTCCTTGTTCCACTGCTTCCGTGGCCTATTTTCACTGTAGTTTATAACACCACCACCTGGGTACAAAATCATTTCATTAATGCTATTTACAGAAAATTGCATTAGCATTGTGGATTACATTCAAGGTCACATTCAAGAGAGAAATGAGAAACAGGAAGAAACAGGAAGAACATAGTCTAGAGAACTCCATCTGTCACACCACTGTCCTCTCAACAAACTGAGGAAACCGTGGAACCTCCTTGTGACCAGGGAGCCCACAGGAACTGGCTGAGGGAGTGAGGAGGCAGTGTCTCAGCAAACTTATGTGGTGGCTCTGCAACTTGGGAATTTTCTGACTAGTCATACCTTGATTATTTATTTCCACAGCATTTATTCACATTTACCTAGGACACATATCCAGGATCACATTAAATACTCATGACAATTGAGGGGCATTTTTGAAACCTGTCTCAGGAGAAACCTCATGATACGTGTTTTAATCAAAAGAAAGGTCTCTACCTCACATCTGAGGTACATCATTGATAGTTCTTGTCACTGGCCTTAACCTGTATGTTAAATCACAACAAAAATAGAGGTGTAGTTGTTTTATGCTCCCAACAGTACACTGTACTTGAAAGACAGGATAATTTCTTAGCGATTATTATAATTTTAGGGTTGCTATTGTTCTCTTTCAGTTTCATCACTTTTTGCAATCTTCCTGTCACACAAAAACACAAAGAAATTCTCTTCAGCACAGTGAACTTTT